CCAGTATTAGAACGACCTTAAGAGTGCATTGAGGAGGAGACACATACCCTCCTATTATGGAAGGGAGCTTATGAATAAGCTCCAAAGGCTCTAGCAAAGGGAAATGTTTGTTGAATAGTACAGGCAACAAATGGAGCTTTATATGATAGGGGCATGTATTAGGGAGGAAGAAGCCATCATTGTAGCTAGATTCTTGAGTGTCTTAATTTAGAGATAAGAGACCAAGTGGAGCTACTACCCTACAGGGACCTAAATGATTTAGTCTAACTTTGTGTAAGGGTATAACAACAAAGATTAAGAAAATCCTCTTTTAAAAGAGAAAACTCCCACTCTTCATCTATAAAGAAAGATTACAAGAGGGAGGGAAAATCATTTGAAAAGAAGAAAGTTTTGGAACCCTCCAAGGATCTAGCTAGAGAAAAGGACAAAGGGAAGGGAAAGATCACTCCACACACTAGTAATGGGACTAGTGATATAAAATGTTTTAAGTATTTAGAGAGAGGCCACATTGCCTCCCAATGCCCCACCAAGAAAGTCATGATGTTAAGGGGGCATGACATTTATAGTAGTCAAGAAGAGACTACTACCTCCTCTAGTGAAAGTAAGGAGGAAACAAGTGATCAAGAAGAAAATGTGGAGTTGACTTTTCCTTATGAAGGGGAGCTCTTAATGATTAGAAGACTCCTTAACAACCAACCTAGTGGTACCTTATCTTCATACTCATAAAATCATCATTTGGAGATTATTGTCATTATCATGCTCATAAAACACATCACTTACATTAACAAAGTAATAAGGCAATTCCCACACAATTTGCACCTTCAAACAAGACATAAAACATGTAAAACATCATAGGGATCACGCCCGGTGCGCCCTAACTTGCGCTCGGCGCATTAAATGTCGCACTAAAAGTGGAGCATCACGCCTAGTGCGCCTTAAGCGCGTCTGGCGAATTTAATGTTGTGCCTAAAGCGGAGAATTCCACCTGGCGCAACTTCACACGCGCTCGGCGTGGCTTTCTTGGGCCCGGTGCAACTTTCCTGAGCCCGGCTCAATTTTCTTGAGAAATTATTAATTTGTGCTCGACGCAAGGAACTGCGCCCAGCGCCCTTAGTGTGAACCTATACTTTGCAATTAGACAATTTTTCATAACAAACATGTAATGTCCTAAACACCCCAAAATACAAGGGTAAAATTGGAAATACAAGTAAAATAAATTCTATGACTAAAATACCCCAAAGTACAAGGGTAAAATAGGAATAAAAATAAATGCTATGCTAATAAGAACTTAGGGGCTAAGGTCCAAAAGTGGCCTCACTAACCCATTCCTCTTGCCTCCTTTAGTATATCACCTCTTGGTCTCCTCGGCCTTAGTGTTATTCCATCATGAAGGTAGAGCAACTCTTTGCTTGCCATATGGTAAGTGAAGAGAGAAAAGTACCTCTTGCTACCCTTAGATTTCAAGGGCATGTAATGTATTGGTGGACGACCCTAGCAAGAGAGAGGCACCTCCACAATGACCCTCCTATCCAGTATTAGAACGACCTTAAGAGTGCATTGAGGAGGAGACACATACCCTCCTATTATGGAAGGGAGCTTATGAATAAGCTCCAAAGGCTCTAGCAAAGGGAAATGTTTGTTGAATAGTACAGGCAACAAATGGAGCTTTATATGATAGGGGCATGTATTAGGGAGGAAGAAGCCATCATTGTAGCTAGATTCTTGAGTGTCTTAATTTAGAGATAAGAGACCAAGTGGAGCTACTACCCTACAGGGACCTAAATGATTTAGTCTAACTTTGTGTAAGGGTATAACAACAAAGATTAAGAAAATCCTCTTTTAAAAGAGAAAACTCCCACTCTTCATCTATAAAGAAAGATTACAAGAGGGAGGGAAAATCATTTGAAAAGAAGAAAGTTTTGGAACCCTCCAAGGATCTAGCTAGAGAAAAGGACAAAGGGAAGGGAAAGATCACTCCACACACTAGTAATGGGACTAGTGATATAAAATGTTTTAAGTATTTAGAGAGAGGCCACATTGCCTCCCAATGCCCCACCAAGAAAGTCATGATGTTAAGGGGGCATGACATTTATAGTAGTCAAGAAGAGACTACTACCTCCTCTAGTGAAAGTAAGGAGGAAACAAGTGATCAAGAAGAAAATGTGGAGTTGACTTTTCCTTATGAAGGGGAGCTCTTAATGATTAGAAGACTCCTTAACAACCAACCTAGTGGTACCTTATCTCAAAGGGAGAACATATTTCACACTAGATGCAATGTTTCTAACAAAGCATGTTCTCTCATTGTTGATAGTCGATCATGGTGCAGTTGCCTTGTTGAACCGATCCATGAAAGTTCGAAGCGATTCCTTCTTGTCTTGCCGAAGGCTAACCAGCGACAAGGACATCAAACTGTGAGGGCGACTTGTTGCAAACTGAATAGTAAAGTGGGACGACAAAGTGTTGAACGAGTCAATGGAATTGGGGGGAAGTCGAGTGAACCAACTCAAGGCCCTGCCCTTGAGGGATGTTGGAAAAATCCGACACAACACGGCATCATCCGTGGTGCTTAAAGTTACCTGCGTCAAGAAAACATCCAAATGTTCGTCAGGATCTGTTGTACTATCATATTTGTCAATAGGCAGAGATTTCCAATTGTCCATTAAGGGGAGTTGCATAATAGAGGGGGTGAAAGGATGTCGGTGCGATCTGATAGTTGCCACATCTGCAGGATGACCAACTGTGGGGAGGGCCGAAGGGAACTTCTCGGGTGCTGCTGCCGAAGCATGGGGAACCGAGGTGTGGATCGCTTGGGACTGATAAGACCCTTGAGTTTGCGAGTTTGCCGCTTGAAAGGGTTTCCATGACATATTATCCTTTTTTAAGGCCTCGTTCTCGGCTTTCAAGGCTGCAAGTTCCCTTGCATCTTTTTCTCGTTGCTGTTTCATGATCTCCATTTTCTGCTTTAACACCCGAACAACTTCAGAAAGATCCGTTTCGTCAACAACCTCAACATGTTCTTCATTCTCGTGTTGGTGGTCCTGCGTATTTGTTCTCCTAGTTATCGCCATGACTTAATCCAATTAATCTTCGAACTCTCCGTTCGGCCCCACAGTAGGCGCCAAATGTACATGTCTGATGGGCACACCAAGTCTTCTAGTAGTCCAAAGGCCGAACGAGAACTCTGATCCGACACGTGGATGAAGGGGTTGGTACCTGCAAAAGGCACTCCAACGCTCAAGTCAGGGCAAGCATAAATATCTAGGGTAATTAATGAACACTGACGTTACCTTTTGACCTGAGCTATTTATACTGACATTTATGGGCCCTGGACCCCATGGGCCCTGCAACATATTTACCGTATTAGGTAATACACTTTAATCGGCTAATTAACCTCTAATCTCTGATTAAGAATACCAAATGATGATAGGCCGATCCAGGTGGCCGATTGACGTTCGACTACCTGGTCCTGCCATTCGGTGGCCGATAGGGTGGTGGCCGAACCCTCCTACCTGTACAATAATTATTCATGCTACATTTATCAAAGCTTCCAAAAAAGATGATGCGACTATTTTGAAATAATTATATTTTTATTGAAATAAGCAACTAATAAACTTGAACTAAATTTGTCTACTATCAAAGCATTTAAACAACTATAAGTGTTTGATTTATTTTTTTTATCTTTCTTTGTCTTTTATAATCTCCTTACTAAAACGTGATAAATCAATTAACAAAAAGACGAAACTTTCTTACTTGTCCATTTTAATTAGTAGGGTGTATTTTAAGGATAACGGGGGAAAATAAATGACTGCAGAAACAGATACCAAGAAAATCAATCCAAAAATCAATCCAAAAGGAATAATGTTGATAAAGAAAACAAATCATGTTACACAAAAATAAATAAATATATATTTTACACTATCAATGTATAACTTATATCTATATATATATATATATATATTAAATTAGCGTATTAAGTATCGCACCATACACGAATCATATCACACGATACGATTCGATACACAAGGCCAGCGATCCAAATCGTGCATTGTCGCGTTCTTGTGCACGAATCGTGTTCAAATCGCACGAATCGTGCTTCGAATCGTAGGAATCGCAATTCCTCAAAATCGCACAAATTTGAAACCAAACGGGTCGGTTCGCGTGACCCGATTTTTGAAAATCCTATTTTTTTTCCCGCAAAAAAAAAAAAAAAAAAAAAAAAAAAAAAAAAAACATGGAAGAGAGACAGAAAGTTCCGTTCTCTCTTTTTTACCTTCGCGTGCGACCTAGTCTCACATTTTCACCTTTGCCTTTAGGTTTTCACCTTCAAAGATTCACACATCCTTTCTTTCACCGCATCCTCATTTCAACTTTCAAGGTTCCGTAACTTCCGTTTTACAGGCCAATATATTTATGAATAATTTCATTTTACAAGTTTCTTTATGTTAAAATGTGCCTAGAGTGCATATGTTTTTATGTTTTTTTATTGATCACGATTCACGATTCGATTCTATTTGTGATTCAAAATAAACAGGCTTTACACTAATTGTGTCCCGATTCAACTACCTTGATATATATATATATATATATATATATATGTGTGTGTGTGTGTGTGTGAGAGAGAATGAAAAAGTAGCATATCTTGGTTATAACAAAACAAACCGCAAGTAAATCGAAAGATAGATAACACTGGGACTCAGCCGTATCAGAATATTAACTCGTTGAAGTAGAAAACCTGTCGATAAAAAGGATAAATATTTTACCAGTGTTTTTTACCCGATGTATTGTTGAAAATAAATATATTTGGATCTCATGATACCCTTTTTGCTAAAGAGGTTTAAAAACCATATGAAAGCTCCAGGAGATGCTTCGTGTCTCACGCTAAATGCAAGCTCTGATTAACTAGTATTTTGTTGTTTGGATAGGATGAAAAAGTAATATGCAAGAACCACTACGAGGTGATGAAAACAACAAACAATGCATGGACAAAGGTAGACGAGGGCAAGTGAGAATATTCAATCCAACTACAAATTCACTTGGAATGACTCCACCAAAACAATAATTATGCATACTATAAATTATCATATAGTAAACATCACAAGAAGGTAAATGAGAATTTTAATTTGTCAACACGGTAAGACGATACATGTATCGGGTAAATCACATAATTTCACCAAACAAACAATGGAGAGTGATATAGACATATTTCTCCTATCCAACAGTCTCCATGTCGGAACAGGATTCAAGAGAGCTCGCAGCATACTGATGTTCTTGAAAGCTTACAATATGGTACAACACTGATTGGTTTTTTTCGCCTGTTTGTAAAACATCTGTTTCAAACGCCAGATCAAGTTCTCGTGTCAGTATATTAACATGTGGGGAAAATTTTTCCATTCATGGTAAATAGAAAGTTCAATTCCAAAGATGCAACACCAAACATGACATCTAAAGACGTCATACTCCGTAGCAAAAAATATAATCAGTGATCTGGGGTCCAAAAACTGACAAATTGTTAAGAGTGAAACACCATTTTAGTTCAAGAAATTTGGGGTTGGTCACCACAAAGATGACATTTTCATATTAGTCAAAAAAGCATCGTCTTTAGCCTGAAAGAAGAATATTAATATTTTAGTCCCTGAAAACAAAATTAACTAACATAATATTTTAGGGATGAAAATGCTGATTTCTATCTTTCAAGAACCAATGTGACCAATCTCGGATCTTTAGTAAATGGTGTTTCATTCAATCATTAAATATCAAAATTAATAACTAAAGAGAAAAGATTGAAATAATTAGAAGCATAAATAATGGACACAACCTTACAAGTTTTACTCCAAAAGTAAATCTAGTTAGAGTTACTACACTCAATAACTCATGTTCTACATTAAATTTTAATGATCCAACAGTTAAATTAAAAGTTATTAATGCATATATTAAATCTATAAATTTGAAAATTATAAATTGACGGATAATCATAAAAACATCTTATACATTGATTTGAATTAATGAAACGAAATATCAAATGATTTTTAATTTTTTAAAAATTTACAGACTCAATCTATGCATTAATAATTTTTAATTCAACAATTGGATCATTAAAATTTGGTATAAAATCATGAGTTATTGACTGATGTCAATCTAAGTAGATTTACTCTTGGAGTAAAAAGATTTCCCCTCTTGGAGTAAAAGAAAATATTGAAACCAAATGCTAAAAAAGGCTAAGAACATAATTAACACCACAGAATCAATTTTTTTGTTTAGTATTTCATAGTGGCAAAAAAGACAGATAAAAGAAAACATATATAGACTGTGATGTAATTATACATATGAACAAGTGAAGTATAATTTCAACCACAATTAATTAGTACAGATACATAGATAAGAATGTTTTATATTGATTATATGTCAAAACCCGTTACCCCAAAGCCTTTTCTTCCTTTTAATAACCTTATAAACACATGCACATGTATACTATTCAATAATCAGTACACAGACATGACAACAAGCGAAGACATTAATCACAAAAAACTACATAGACCATACCCATTCGTTATTCATGCTCAATGATGACCATAACCACATAGACTAAAGCTTTAATAACAGAAAAAAGGGTCACAAATAATATATGTCTGACTGTGAGGATTAATGCATTGATGTACCAGTTCCAAATGCAAATTTTTGTATAACAGGAGTTATTTAGGTGTACCTGCGATGCAGCACTCAGATCAGAACTCTTCTCAACTAAACTGTCCAGCCTCTCCCCTCTAGCCAGCACACTATCAATAGTCTTGTGCTGTTCATAAACAGAATAATAAGGTGAAGCAATCTATACAGCAGAAAACCTGAACAAACCCTTTGTGAGGGAACAAATTTACATAACCCCTCAAACAACCTAGAATGGCCAAATCAAGACTACAAAATTTAATGTAACATAATCACATAATTTTACATTAATAAGAAACAGCAACATATCTGGAAAAAGTAACTAATTTTAACAAAATTATTGATGACCTGTGGACAGACATAATATAAAATCTAGGATATCACCAAACAATACCAAAGAAAGGATAAATTTGCAGTAGTACGTTATGTTTGGCTTCATAAGAGTGATGCTTGACTTGCATTCTGCTGGTATTGTCATCTAAAGCTTAATGTATTTGGGAACCAATGCCAAATTCTCAAACAAACATTGAGTTTGAAAAATTACCAAGCATATGACCATCATGTTTAAAATTGAATGACTATGACAAAATGCCTTAAAAGAGAAATAACTTTAGAAGACAAAGATGCAGGGAACCCATATAATGTGTTGCAAATATAAAGTAATGTGTGCTTACAAGGATGATTTTTGTTTCATCCAACTCTCTCTGGATTTTCAACAACTTGTCAGCCTCTGCAGGATCCTGAAGATTTGACAATAAGAGATAAAGGGAGTTAGAGTTAAAAGTAATTGTGTAAAAAGGTTACCAGAATGTAACAGAATTTTGAATTTGAATATTGGACAAATTTTTTAAAACAATGAACAACTCTAGCTGAAGCTTATACGAAATTGAAGAGGTATTTACATGCCTGGAACTTTTGCAGAGCTTCATTCAAATAGGGCCATGGTTGACTATTGTCTTCCTGAGCAGTCCTCCATGACTCACCAAAAGTTTTTTGATATTCATCGAGCACCTGCATGAAATTGTATTTTATTCCCATCTAAAACAACATTAACATGCATTGGACTAAGTATAACTGATATAATAATAGCTATTCCTATCTGACAGTTGATTACTATCAATTATTTCAAATACTTCATGAGACCAAAAGTTGCCTTTCATGAGTTGCTAACAGCAATGTTTAACCCTCCTTTGTCTGTCATCAAGCCTCCAGAAACTTATTTGTATGCAATCATTCAATAGACATAGAATTCTAAATAAAACAAGACACTTGAGCTTATGGAACACGGACACGGTAACATAGTACACAATATTCTGAAGGTATGGGTATAGGTACAATTACATGTTCTGTTATTATGTGTAATATATGGGTACATGAGGGTGTACATGATTGGTATATGCACAAAACCGTCTAAACATTTAAAATTACATCATATATTTTTCTAATTCTAAAATTTAAAATTGTAATAAATAAATTTATGTGTTAAAAGATATGAATTATAAATAATAATCATGAATAAATAATAAAATTTAACATTTTTTATTTTACTTTTCGGTGTTTTTATTTATTAATATCCTTTTGTCTTTCTGCTGACTTTCCACTTCCCAAACTCAATTCTATTTAAGTATAGCCTCCTTTTGTCACTATATAGTGCACAAAAGCTACAACCCACCCTGTCAAACTCTTCTCAGGTAAACTTGTTAAACTCGCATAAACTCTTAACTCACCGAGTCAAGAAGCGAGTTTGAAATCAAATGTAATTATTGCCCCTCATAGACCCTACACCGACAGTGTTTCATGCCACTCGTGCATTGTTTTCAAAGCCTACATAAATGCAATATTTTACTAGGTCTCAATGCTCAAATGATTTGAAGTGATAATTCGCTCATTTCTTGAATTGTTTTCACATTTATAATTTTATGATTGTGTATGATTTAGTCATTTATGTAGTTTGATCTTATATAGTATAACTATAAATGTACTATCAAACTTTACTATTGGGGTTCGCTACTTTGCTTTATAATGGAGTTAAATAGTTGAGTTGTTAAGAGTATTATGTTATGCATACAAGTCATTAATAGGTTTTAATAATAATATTTTTATATATTAGGTAAATTCTTATGAGTCTAGGGAAACACCCCAAGTTTATGTAGACTCTCAAGTTTGAAAACCTGGATATAACTGATTCCCAAGCTTTTCCTTAATTAATGACTGCATTTATTGCCATTGACAACTATTATAGTAAACAGTGATAAAATGGAGAGGGGAGGGGAGGATCTCCAAAACTAGCTAAGACACCAAATCCCTCGCACAATTCTAATTTGCAACATCCTGAGCAATACCAGAGGCATAGTATAATTACCACGTACCCTCAAAAACAATATCTTTCTAAATTTTCACAGCAATGAAAAACATGGAAGCAATAATAAGGCGTAAATAGAACATAACACTGAACCGAAACGCAGTACTCTGACTTCACCTGGTTGAGAAGAGAAAAGGCACTTCGAATCGGGTAATGATCATCCATAAATCCCAACGCGCAAAGACCATTTCTGTTGTAGGTATGCACCTTGTACTCTGCAATCCAAAAGCAACAACAGAGAAGAAACACGTTTCAAACGTTAACGATTCGGCAACAAAAGGAAATCGAATCTCTAAGATAAACAAAGGAATCACCGCCAGAGATCAAGCATACGGCGACATCACATCTGAAATCTCAAATTTCAAACGAATTATGATATCTAGTATTCCCTAAGCGGAGGAAACGGTAACACAATAGAGAAAGGAATAAAAACGAAGGAGCGAAAGGGGATCAACAAAAACGACAGAGGAATAAGCAAAACGCGAAACCCTGGAAAAGGAATCGGGAGGGAGAACCTTCGTGTTGTACGGATTGGCGTTGGCCCTGAGGGGTGCGTTTGGCGACGGTGCGACCGACGAAGACGATGAACTCCTTAACGCTGGAGCGTTGGAAGTAACCGAAGTGGCTTACGTCGGAAGCGTTGGCGAGAATCACGGGATCGGAACCCTCGCCCGTGCATTTAAGCACCAACAACGCAGTGATCTTCATCGCTCTTTCTCTCTCTAGATTCTCTCTCTTTCTCTTTCTCTTTCACGCTTCGTTTCTTTGTTCCTTTGATTCGCTCCCCTTGCAGTCGGTGGGTGAGGTAATAAAACTAAAAGGAAGAGTGCAACAGGGGAATGGGAATTGGGGCGAGAAGAGAACTGTGATCAGGTGCGGGAGCGTCTACGTGGGAACGCAATGTGAAACTGCTTATGACCTGGAAAGTGGAACCAATCGCTTTACCTCCGCGTCCTATTAAGGCTATCTTTGGCTCCATGTGCGTTTCGCTCTGTGTTTTTTTTTTTTTTTTTTTTTTTT